CTGCATAACTGACAAATTACTGTTCTAGTTTATAATCCATAAAATCAGAAATGTCAGGCTGAAATTTGTTTATTTTTGCTTTCAAGGATCATTTTCATCCAATTTCTTTAGTCTTGAAAGTTCTCTAACTGTTAGGTTTATGGGAGCTAGTCATATGAGTAAAACTATGTAGTTTTTAATGTCCTTTTAAAATAATTTGTAAGTCTCTCTGTGTGCCAGAGAATAAGTAAGCGTGGTATGAAGACTGTGCATCTGACCCAGCAGTTTTTCATCAGTGAGCTGTGTGTGCAGCTTCCTGATGGAATGCTTCCTGAAYGTTTGCTCTTTCAGGAGCTGTTGTTTCTATGATCTCCTCTTTCCTCTTGTCGTTGTGGCAGAGAGGGGCATTGCTCCTCCAAGTAGCAATAAAAAAGTGTTAACTGTCTTTAGARCACTTTATTGGGGTTTGTTTTCATTTCATTCTGGCTTTCTGTCTCCTGTTTTCCCTAATGGAGATAAACTGAAATTACAGAGGCCAAGCTGACTGTGCATTTCAGGGAATTGGAACAACATAGTATTCATCACTGTGGGGAACTGATAGCCRCTACCCAGGGAAGCTTGATATTATCAGTGTAATTAATATCCTTATGCTGAAGCAAAGCTATCTTGAATTTTCTTTTCAGCCAGTATTTGTTTCCGGTTTTGCCTGGAGTCAATAAATCATGTAATAAAGAGTTTCAGGGTTTGAAAGGAATAATTTTCTGCTTAAATGATTCTCCTGAAGTGATGTTTATTTGTTACTGAAGTTAATTGAATGCTGGAGGTGGATTTCTAAAGCTGTAGACTGTGTGTCCTGGAATATATTCTCTCTCCTGTGTTGTGTAGCACATCTTTGAACAGCAGTTCTTTTGAGGCAGAAGAATTACCCTGTGCAGGGTCACCAGACTTCATGCATGAAGAAATTGTTTCATATAATCATTCTTCTGTCTCTACAGGCCACCCTTGAGAAAAAACTGCTTTGCAGTTTATCTTGCAGGTTACTTTTTATCAKGATTTGCATATTGTTTGAATTTTATGCCTTACAGGATGTGACTGTTCTTGTGGCGATATCTGCAGGTTTCCATTGCTTAACTTTGTATTGTGTTTAAGCCTTACACAAGACTTGCTGTGCATTTGGCTATTGAGAAACTGTACTTCCAAGTTTTAATTTAAAATTGCACTGTCTGAGTCTCACATTAGAAATGATTGTTATGTCCAGGTTTTAAACTTTTTTTCCATTTAAAACAGAAAACCTTTCTGTGTAGTAAAATGTATTTAGGTATTCCATAAATTCCTTTGATATGGTGGGATGGCCCTTGTGCTGTGTGAAGTCCCCAGCAAACTAGAGAAACAAGGAAATACACGGCTACTTCAGCTTAAATTTTAGTTTAGGCTTGTATTTCTAAATAATAAGCTCCTTAGATGATGTGCTGCCTCTTCTGCTTAGAAGGCTAAATGTTGAAATGGTGGCATTGCACATTTCTTTTCATGTATTTGATGCTAATGCTCAATGTTTTATTTCCACAGTGCATTGGTTATTGCTGCAGTATTTGATCGTGATGTTAATTGCAGAAGAGCTGCTTCTGTAAGTTACCAYATTCCAGCTTACATGCCTCTGTTATTTTTTGTTTGTTTTCATTAAAAAATTTGTAGACTTAACTGTGTAGAATTACAGTAGAGAAGAAAAATATTATGTTGGGAGCAAAAAAGTGGKTTTTTTTAATCCTTAGAAGTATTGTGTGAATTTAGATGTTAAATTATATAATCTACAGATGCACATCTTGATTTATGGTCACAGTTAACAGTCTGCTGTATGGTTGTCATGATGATCAAGATAAAGTATCTGAGAAAGAGCTATTTAGCATTTTGTAGTAACAAGATCACAGTCAAAAGGGTCCTACATAATACACAAATATTGGCTCTCTTGCAAGTCACCAGCTGGTTAGTTTTGTGAGGTTACACTTTTCTGGTTGTGCATCAGCTGTTATTCTTTAATTGTGGTAAGTTGAAAAWTTCTAGAATGATCTCTCTCCTTCAAACATATTTTCAGTTGTAGAAAACTCTTTCCATAGGATTTGGAATTTTAGAAAGAAAGTGACAAATGCATTAGGCAGATACTGTTATGTAGTGAATAGAATGGACACTGAAGTATATTCTGTGAAAATTTTCTGTAGAAAATATTCATGCTGTTGACAGCTGAGAAGAGTGTTCTTAACAGAAGGGAAATGATGGAGAATTCCAGATTTCTATGGTTATGGAATTTGAGAAGAAGAAAAAATGGACATCTTGGCTATGAGAATTTAAGTCTGTGTGTTGTAAATACTGAATTTGCTTCCTTCAAAAAAAAAAAAAAAGTATTAGTTGTATCTTTTAACAGATAAACCAAATTATCTTATATAAATGTAACAAACCCCATCCTGTAACTTAACTGCAAGAATCCAAACCAGGACCAGTGTCTACCAAAGAGCCAGATGTGTCTGTTCCTGACAATAAATGTCACTGTMAATGTGTTAAGAAAAACCCAGTCTTTGAAACATGTCCATTAACAGGTTTGTCTGATTTTTTGACTGAATTTTGAAAGCTGATGTGTTTATACCATCAGAAGTGTTTCTCAGGGATACCTGGATAGCATCCTTACTTTTTGTAGCCACACCTGTGCTGGCGAGTTGAAGCTGCTGAATGAAGCTGCAGTGTGATTGCTGGGGAAATGAGTCAATGCTTGAGCAATCCCACCACGGCTCCTGGTCTGAAGGTGCACTGAACAAAGCAAGCCAAGATGCTTCAGGTTGCTGAGCAGTGGTAGATCATATTCTTCCCATGATGTACAGCTGATGACTAGCAGCAATGCTACTTCCCCCAAACTTCAACTCCTACATTTTAGAAATTGTAGACTTTACTATTCTTGGCTAATTTAAGTCCCTGTATTCAAAGGAATGCCTTAGAGGAATTTGCTTTCCTGAGARCTGCACAAAACATTAGGGAGCATAGATGRTGGRAAGTGAATTATTTATGTGATCCCTRSGAAGTGTCCTCTGAATCAGGGTTTATATATACACAGAGGAGAAATCTTTATAACACAATTGCCACTACACGAGTGCTGCTTACCTTTGGTAGTTTGATTTAATTGTGCTGTGGRTCATCAGTGTTTCTACACTTAAACMTAAACTGATAGRCCATGACCTTGTGCTAAACTGGCCATGTTGACTAAAGCTGTGAGCTCAGTGCAGCTGGTGTATCCACATTTCTTATGAGTACAAAACCCAGCATTTCTCCTCACTTTCCTCYTCTGCTGTAGCCCAGGCTCCTGAGCTATCTGCAAGTCAGCAACCTCTAGTGTGATTCATTTTTTCACTTGTACTTCTAATTCGGTGCTGGTCAAAATTTGGAATAGCTGTTTGATAGTTGGATAGTTGTGAAATTACTGAAGCCTTTTCTCTTATTTTAGAAAGGCAAAGAAGTATTTTGTGTTTACCAGCCATTACTACAATTTTGAAGAAAGATACCTGGGAGTGTTAAATATTCCCAATCATTACTACAGTTAAACACRTATTTAAATAAACAACGTGTTTTACTAGATTTCTATCTATTAAATATGCAATATATTATAATGCAGAGCACCAATAAAATAAAATGGTGAATAGAGACATTTTGAACCCTGAGGTTAGAGAGAATAGAACAAGACTGTTCTTTTGAAGCTCCACAAGCATTCTGGGCTGGCTTGTGCAACTCTTTCATGAATAATCAGTATAAGGAATAATCAGATGAATAAGTGATGTTGAGTTGGACTCCATTCAGGTCTGACATCTCAAAGAGACGCAGGTTTTTTTCCTTCATTGTCTGATAGTTTTTAAACTACCTATTTTTAWACTAAATATTTTTAGAGAATACTGTGGTATTTTTTCAGTTTTTGTGGAAAAGTGTTCAGGTTGCCAGAGTAGTTGGTCACCTTGGTTCCAATCTCATGGAATCTTTAGTATATTTTTATCCAGTTTTTCCATCTCCAGAATATGTTATTTTTCATAACAATGAAAAATAATTCTCACAAAACAATTGATGTATTTGGCATCCTTTTGGAATTTCAGAGCTTTACAGGTTCTGTATCATTTAGGCTCTTGTTGGAGCAGCACATTTTTAAATGAGACGGTAATGCATGGTAAAACTATGAAATCCCTTGGATGTGACAGAGAATCTCATCTTTACTGAAACGTGACGATACTGAGTCGAATGGGTCTCAATGGCATAAAATATAGAATCATGGAATCATCTAAKTTGGAAAAGATCTTTAAGATCATCAARTCCAACTGTTAACCCACACTGCCCAGTCCACCACTAAACCGCTTAGATTGTGATTCTGGATACACCAGAGTTGCCAGAAATACRTATTCTTCATCCCAAACATACCTTTCTTTATGGAATGGGCTAAAAGATTGTCACTACTTGTCTTCTTTTCACTAAGGGGGCACTCAGAGCTGCACAAATAACTGGCTAYACGTTAAYGAGTTTTGATTGATCTSCAGCGGGTGCRTGRCATWAAGTATAGCCTATGCCCTCAGTAATGTATTGAGGGTGTCAGTAGCACAAAACGGGACCTAAAGCTGATGTAGAAGGGAATGAACAATGCAGAGTGAGAGGCACCGATGTCCTGGCTGGGAGCGCGCGTTGGGAGCGAAGTGAGCAGGGAAAAGCCCGTGTCCACAGCGGGGCTGYGGCATCAGCGAACAGCGGCCGCAGGGCAGCCCCGGCTCCTGCTGCACAGCCGCCTGGATCTGCTGCCCGGGGCCACCGGAGCCGGAGAGCCCGGGGGCTGTGCTGGCTGCTGGGGGCTCCGGGAGCCTGTGCTC